TCAGATAAGATCTAAGTTGCTTAAGTTTATGTCACTGACAATTAGAGCAAGGGTCTACACCTAGCCCTCCCCATTCTAAAAGTMTCTGTTCTTTCTTCTACATTATGTGACTGTTACCTTCCAATTAAAAAAAAATGTGACTACCTTCTCCTAAACCGAAATAACTCAGATTTAAAAAATAACATTTGGTACCAAATCATATTAAATAAATAGTTGACTATAGGCAAAAATTGTCTCATTCTTGGTACCATCATGGTGTCCATTTGTACAAGTGGGTGAGTTGGACTACAGAAGATGAAGATGATCTATTTCTTGTGGGTAATTAGCATTTTGCATTATTGGAAAAACTTAATGGCTCAGCAACAGGAAGATGGAAGTCCTGTGTGGATACCCACATAATTAATTGCACAGATACCATCTAGATGTGTTTAATCAACAATCCTCATCTCCAAGGGTTGCTAAAATTCCCTAAATCAGTAGTTAACAAAGTGGCCTAATCATCCGAATCACTCGTGATATTCTTTAGAATACAGGTTCCCAGGACTCTTTTCTGACTAGCTAAGTCAGTTATCTGGGCTTAAGTTTGGGAATCTGTAGTTTTATTTTATTTTTTAACATCCACAGGTAACTCTGATGGTTAGCCAGCTTTGGAAACCATTTCAGAATGTACTGAGAAAATCACTACAATTTATTCTCAAAGAGAAACTCAGCCAGAGCAAATAAGAAGTCAATGTGGACATCACGATGGAACTTGAAAGAGCCTAACCAGCGACAGCCACCGGATTCAGATTCCTGAGATGAGAAATGGTGGCTTAGACTATAATACAATATTCTTTCAAAAGCCATTAAAATTAGAGGTGAAAAAAGGAAGTTTCATGAAATTACCTCGGGCAGGATCTTTCTGCCTCTACCAGATTAACAGAGCAAGCACAATTCACAGCTGACATCTCAAGAAATTTCACTAACCATTCATTTAAATCGTAAGTGGATAAGCTGCGATTAAATAAGCATTTTATATCCAAGTAAGATTCGCCCTAATGAGCAAGTCTAAATCGTGTTTTCAAGATCAAAATTGCCTTTTGTGACAAGGCCTCTTTTCCAGGGTGTCCTTCCAAGGGAGGAGCACTTCAGACCCAGGGCAAATGTGCCTAACAGATGAAGACAGCAAGTCCTGTGATCCTTAAAAGTCACTGGAGGAAACGGAGCTCCTTTAGAAAGGTAGGTTTGATTTCAAGAAAATAAAGACCTCTGATCACCCAGTCCAGCGCTCTTCCTACAGAGGGCAGCAGAGAGCCCAGCCTGAGTTTCCCAACAGAGTCCATTCTGCAGCCTTGTTTTTTTACTTATTGGCTAAGCACCTGTATGGCTCCCTGACCAGACTGGAAGCAAAGGCAGGTCCACCAAAGGCAGGACCCAGGGGGAACTTCTGGTGTCACCAACATCTCCTATGTAGTTCTGTTCGGTTGCCTACACCAGATGTTGGTGATGTTGTTAGGTCATTAAGTCCACCAGTTAACTCAGAGAATGTAGAAGTTCAAAAGCAAGCAATCCTCTCCAAAAATTGAGCATTTGATTCTTTGCCTTAGTTAATGTGGGGTAGGTCCTTTTCTGTAGGAGGAATAAATACAAAAATCTATACACAGATTCGAACCTTGTATGAATTTATTAATACATACATTTATTTGTTTAGCAAACACAGCAAGGCTGAGATTGTAGCTCACTGGTAGAACACATTGCCTGCAGTGTGCAAGTCCTTGGATTTAATCCCCAGCAACACACACACACACACACACACACACACACACACACACACATATACAACCACACATAAGAAAATCCAGTAAAGTATGAACTCATCAGAGTGTTTAAATAAGTCAAAATTACAAGTGCGTCTTTCCCTTCTCGAATCCTTTCTTGGATGAAGTGCATGCCAATTAAATACGCATCTTTCAGAGCATGAGCTGTAGAACTGGCTTTACGTGATGTTAATAATTATTACAGATGAAATTGTTCCATAGTTTAATAATCTGGGGAAATTCTGGGTGAGACAGGTTAAAAAGATATTTCTTTATTATAGAGTTTCTCTGAGCTTTTTCATTATCCCAATTTGCTTCATGAATCTTAAATGTAAAAAGATGGTCAGTAATTTATTACATAATGTTTTCCATCTCACTCTTCTTATGGAACAACCAAGGGGCTGACTTTGTGATCTGGAAACACACTTTGAGAATTATTGAATCAGACACTTTTCTAACAAAATCTCCTTCTGTTAAAGAAATTTAACCATTGAAGTCTTGTAATTCTTTAAGATCCCTCAGAATTGTGGTCCTCAATCCTAGCTGCCCATTAGAATTACCAAGATGCTTTAAACATGCCAGTGCCCAGATCCTACCCAAGACCAGTCAAATCAGAGTCACTAAGGTTGAGGCTGAGGCTGAGGCTGAGGCTGAGGCTGAGGCTGAGGCTGAGGCTGAGGCTGGGTAATAGCAATCTTTAGAAACCCCCAACACCCTTAGGAATGATGATCTGTAAGCAGTATAGGGACCCACTGGCCAAACAAATTGATCTCTTTTACCTTGACTGACCTGTGCCACATCAGTGAACTACAAAGACTTTGCACTCAAAATCTCTTCATGCTAACAATATTAAACCTCTAGTGGCTTATCTGGCCAATCCACACCTCATTTGTCTTAGACCACAATGCTCCATCTTGTCTGCTGCTGGCAGATGTGAGAAGAGGTTTTAGGGGTTGTGTAAGGGAGGAAGCCTCTAGATGGCTAAAAATTGGCTTCTTTGGACTTTTTTTTTCCATTTCTGGTACTGGGGATAGAACCCCCAGGGTGCTTTACCACTGAGCCATATCCCAAACCCTTTTTATTTTTTATTTTGAGACAGGGTATTTCTAAGTTGCTTAGGGTCTCACTCAACTATTGAGGCTGGCCTCCAATTTGCAATTCTCCGCCTCAGCCTCTGGGGCTGCTGGAATTACAGGTGTGTGCTGTTTCCCAGCACAACTTTCTGTAAATCTGAATATTTTCAAAATGGAAAGTTAAAAAGTAAAAATAGCTAATTAAAAATTTTCCCCATTCTATCACGTTGATTAGGCCCCAAATTCTTTTTTTTTATTTTTATTGGTTGTTCAAAGCATTACATAGCTCATAACATATCATCTTTCATACATTTGATTCAAGTGGATTAAGTATAAGAAATAAAATCAAGAATTAATAAATGGGATGGTCTTCAAACTAAAAAGCTTATTTTCAGCAAAAGAAACAATCAATGATATGAACAGAGAGCCTACATTTTGGGAAATTTTTGCCACACACACATCTGTAGGATATATAAAGAATTCAAAAAACTTAATACCAAAAACAAAACAAAACATAAAAAAACAATAAACAACAAACAACCCAATCAATACATGGGCTAAGGAGTTGCATAGACACTTCTCAGAAGATATATATTCAATCGATAAATACATGAAAAAATTACTCAACATCTCTAGTAATTAGAAAAATGCAAATCAAAACTACTGTAAGATTTCATCTCACACTCATCAGAATGGCAGGTTTCAAGGATACAGACAATAATAAATGTTGGCGAGGATGTGGGGGAAAAGGCACACTCATACATTGCTGGAGGGACTACAAATTGGTGAAACCAATCTGGAAGCAGTATGGAGATTCCTTAAAAAACTTGGAATGAAACCATCATTTGATCCAGCTATCCCACTCCTTGGTCTATACCCCAAATCAGCATACTACAGGGACACACCACATCAATGTTTTTAGCAACCTAATTCACAATAGCTAAACTGTGGAACCAACCTAGATGCCCTTCAATAGATGAATGGATAAAGAAACTGTAGTGTATATACACAATGGAATATTACTCAGCATTAAAACAGAATAAAATCATGGCATTTGCAGATAAATGGATGGAGTTGGAGAATATCATGCTCAGTGAAGTAAGCCATGATAAGTGGATGCTGTTCCAAAATGGGGAGGCTGGAGGCAGAAGAAAAATGGAGGAACTTTCATTGGGCAAAGGGGTGGGAGGGTGGGGAGGGTGCATGGGGGCAGGAAAGATGGTGGAATGAGATGGACATCATTACCCTAGATACTTGTAAGACTGCACATAGAGTGGGATGCTACATCATGTAAAGCCAGAGAAATGAAAAATTGCGCTGCAATTGGGTACAAAGAATCAAAATTCATTTTGCTGTCATATATACCTAATTGAAATTTAAAAAAAAATCCCCATTCTGATTCTTTAGAAATAATAGAATCGATATTCAAGGAATTTTGTCTCCCTTTTAGGTATTTTGAGATAGCTAGAGATGAAGAGGTGCATTATAATAAGTACATCATGTGATTTTGATACACATGGTCCCTAGGCCACCCTGTCATTGTTCTCAGGCTGGAGGATTTGCTAGAAGGGATAACAAAAGATATGGAAGCAATCAAGGTGCAGGAGAGAAGGTGTTGATAAGAAGACAGTGGGAGCTGCTGGAAATGGGTTTTGGAAAGAGGGTTTGAATAGGAGCCTGGGGGAGAGAGACAATTGTGAGGTAGGGAATAGTGTGAAAGATATTAATAAAGGCAGAAAAGGCACAAGAGATATTTTGCAGACTTTATGCGTGTATGTTCTCCTTGGCATTTGCTAGTAAGAATTCAGTACAGATTTCCATTGTTTTATTTCCCATTCTTTTTCTTTGACTGGTACTGTATGCTGAAGTTCATCACCAATGGGCCTGGGTATAGTCCTGTGGTGACTTCCAGATCATGTACTTTGTATGGAAGACAGACCCAAACCATTTGCCTGGTGCCTCTTGACCTAAAGATAACAAATCATTTGGAGGAATAACCAGGTGATGTAAGGTGACCCTGCAAAACCCAAACCTCTCTGTGGCCTTGTGGCATAGCCCTCCAGTAGTGGGCATAAACAGTGACCACCAAAGGTAGACCTGAGAAGAACGATGCATGCACATGGCTCAAGAGCTATTCAGACTCCTGTGGATTGTCTTCGGCCTCAATGTCTGTGTGTTTCTTCCTAATCATTTTCAGGACTGGAAGCCAGAAATGAACCTGAAAAGTGGATAAATGAACACTGGACTCATTTCAAATGCCTCTTACATAAATTTTTCATCATGGTGTTAGTGGTATTGAAAGGGACATGAAATCTTATCCTTTTGGTATTTTTTTGGTCTGTCATTGTCTATGAACTATTTTCCAAATCTTTAAGTTGTAGATGGCTGATAACAAGGATGCACAGGATTCATGACCATGACATGCACATGAACTTCACCCTGCAAAGGACAATTGATTCTTCCAGTGTCCACCCAGACAGAGGAGGCAGGCAACTATGAAGCAAATTTATTTTGGTATACTTGATAACCTGTATATGTGTCTGTGTGTTTTGAATTATTCTTTAAATGATTTCTCCTCATTAATAAATAAGTTAAATAAAATCTTTGACGTGTGCATATGGGAGCCATGGTGATACACACACACACACACACACACACACACACATATGTATGTATGTATGTACATATGTCCATTATATAATAAAAACCATAGACAAATAGATGGATGGATGGATAGATAGATAACACTGTAGGATGAACAAATTCTTTGAAATTGACAAAGTTTTAGATATCCTTCCATGTTTTCTCTTTATTCTTGGCCCAGGAAAGTATTGGGTATTATTGGATATTGTTATTCAATATCCAATACAGAGAAGACCTTCCCAAATAGCCTCTTTACAATATGGCTTAACATACTTAATTGAAACCAATATTTTGAAGGATGTCTTGTAGACTTCTCTGGACCAGCATTCAGATCACAATGCTGAGCCACAGCCAAGCAATTTTGTCACTCTGCCCCCACCTCAAAATCCTCTCTACTGTTGGGATATGAGTCTAATATGAAGTCAAAGAGAGCTTTGAAATCCTCTTTCCATTTGCTTTTCAAGCTTACCATTCACTTAATTAGAGGTTAACCCCCCATCTTGGCCTCACCTTTTTAAAGTACAGACTCAGTTTCCTTTTGAACTCTTCTGGTGGCTGCTTTKATCTTTTTCTAAGTAGCTTTGCATGTAGGTACTGAATGCGCTCCCTCTCCACGTTGGGGTAGAAGGATGTGGACACCAGGATCTTAAGTTGCATCAGAATGGAGGACAACAGTCCCAGCATCATTAATATCACCAGAATAATACTGAGAGGAACCCAAGTCCTAGACAGAAGGAGCTTAGGTTTAGGGATGCAGCTGGGTTCAAAAACAGATATATTAAAGGAAGAATCATGGATGAGGTCTCGAGTTCCTTGTTTCTAAAATGAAAGAATAAAATAATTAATATCCATGCCATTTTTCTACCCAGTCTTTATCTTTCTCAATATTTCCTGGTAGCACATAGCATTTATCTTCAATCTGCAGGGAGCTTTGGTTAAAAGAACTCTCACATCTTGTTTTTTTTTTTTTTTTTTTTTTTTTGCTGTGTTTGGAACAAAGGAGAAGGGATGAGTTGTCTGTAACTATGGAAGTGATTTCCAAAGCAGGTTTGCAGAAGCACTGGTTTTCTTGAGATAGGTGTATCAGAAAAGTATTCCATAGCTTCTTGGAGAGTCACTGTTGAAGGCTTTAAGAAGATGGAGAAATCTGTTTAAGGTTACACTAACAAATCTGGCCACATCCACATTTTCATGGGATACATGTTTCTCCACTTTGGGCACATGAGCTAATGTGAGATGGGGGAGCTGGCTCAACTGGGGGAGAGGATCGCTTGGGGACACAGCCCCTTATGACCCAGAGAACATCCTCCTAGTCATGACAAACTCCACTTCAGCAGATGACAAGTTCACAAAGATGATGAGACACTAAATCATGCTCTAAATCAATCTTCTGAAGCTTTGGGGGATCCCTCTTATTCATTGTGTGATATCCCATTTTAGGTTGATGTGTTGACCCTCACTGAAGGAGACTAAAATCTTGTTGGAGGAGATCTTTCAAATAGGGCATTTTCGCATGTCTCCCAATTACTCAGGAGGGGTGCATTTCTTCATGTTTGAAGGCAAGAGAACAAAAAAATTGCCCTCAGCAGACTGATACAGAGGGCAAGAGATGACATTGAACTACCTAGCCCAGCCACCAGCAGAAGTGTGTGCTGACTCAGCTCTTTCTTTCCCCTGACCTGAGAAAGTCATTTAATCTCTCAGTGGATTTGTTTTCTAATTTGGCAAAGCAGGAATTAATGGACCAGATCCTGCCCATGAACAAACTACTCCCAGTGTAAATTAAACACCTTGGGGATGGAGCATTAACCTTACTGACTGGTGTACTTAGTAAGTTATTATCACCCTCGTGCCACAGAGTCCTGGGCCCAGGAAGAAGTAGATGAAGTCTCAAAAAAAAAAAATCCAGAAAATATCATGCAGCTTGGATCTGCCCCAGGGCCTATAAAGAATGTGGAAATGCCAAACCTGGAACCTCTATACAAATTCAAACCTGCGCCTACGCAATGAAAAACATTTGTGTTGCTTCTCCTCTTATTAAAAAGACAGTCAGTCTACAATTAAATAGAGATTTCAGTCCCCAGAGCAAAGGCATGCAGTCTTTTTAATACTATTGAAGAAACAAACCCATCGACTGAGGCAGTGATGAGCAATCCCCCACAATGAGAAAGCAGTGGGGGTTCGGTCTGGGAAGAAGTTATTTAGTCTAGAAATCCAACTGGGGGTTTTGCAGTTGGGAGTCAGGGCTTCAAAACGATCGAGTCAACATTTTTGTATGGGGTTGGTTGAGGGTAACGTGCAAGACAAATTCAGTCTTTCCAAATGCCAAGCAACATACTAAATGGTACCCCAATGATTTAAAATGTGTTTCCTTCTCTTAGGTGAACAACCTGCTGGGATAGCATTGAGTCATGGGTGGAGAGCAGGCCCACCATCTTGCAAGGTTAAGGCAGTAGAGCACAAGGTTACAGGTCAGCAAGTAGGGACTACAGCTATTTTTATTTGCAATGCCCACCCATACAGCTCGGTCAACTTGGATCATTTCCCAACTTCTTTATTTAAAACATTTATCTAAAATTGTATGAAAGTAGGGAGAAATATGGGCAAAAACTTGAACCGAGGTTTCTCTTCCAGCTTGACTTCTCTGTTGCAAACCTATAGCCACAGACAAGGTGCAGAGGCTCCAAGGGCATCTTGGGATAAGGCCAGTCATGCAGAAGCTGGCGGTGACAGTCTCCCAGGCACAGAGGGAGAGAGCTGGAGGGGCACTCCCAGGCAGCCTCCTTCCCACATTGGTTCCAGTGCCCAGCACCCTGCTGCTGTTAGGTGTATACATGGCGGCCACCCCCATTGGGATACCACCCTCATAATATGGCCATCACAGCCTGGACATGGCCACATCCCCAGTACCCAGCAGTGCCCAAGATGAATGTGTCAGCATATTGTCATTAGAAAGCTTCTGTGCTTTTAGGGCAAGTCAGAACTTGTGTTGTCCTCCTCTGTCTAAACCAGTGGGGAATTCACAAAACAGGAATGGGTATTGGGTATTAGCAGAGAGAGAAATAAATGAAGGGGATCGAGAGACAGGGAGAATCAAGAGGGGAAGACAAGAAAGGATAATACAAAGGAGAATGGCAGGAAGAGAGGCCTTCTTATTGGCCACCCCCCACACCCAAGATCAAGGACTGTGAGATTCTTGTTTGGCTTTCATTTGAAACGCTACTTCCATTATACACCCTGCTCCAAATATCTAGAGCAACAGGGTGCCTGGTAATTAACTGAATTCTTCAGGGAAAGCAGAGAGCTCAGAGTAATCAACTCCAAGAAGCAGCCCAGGATTAGGAGGGCAGGAGCCAGGGGATCTGGATCTGCTGAACCAAAAGGGAAGGAGGAGGAAAAATGTGGATGCAGCAGGAGGATCTGAGACCCTGGGAGAGAGAGAGAGAAGGGGAGGGTGGGGTTTCAGAGGATGGTTTACCAGCAGCCTGGCCGTCATTTCCTCCTCTGTGATTTTCCCAGCAGCTGGTACATGGTGACTGCTGCTGGTGAGTGCACAGCCCCGGAAGTGCACTTGACCCCAACATGCATCACAACTGTGTGCGCGCACCAACATGCCGTACCTGGTTCTGTGCTACAATTTCTGGGGTTAAAAAACTAAATAAGGCAAATGTCTGACAATTCCCAGACCCTCTGAAATGTCAACATAATTACAGATTTCCACAGGGAAGATGGAAAAGATAAAAGATGAGATGCACAAAACCCTCAGTCTTCTCTGTTGACACATGGCTGCTGGGAGGAGGGAGAAAGCCAGATTCCTCAAAATGCAGGGGGCACCAGCTCAGAAATGACATTGTCTTGCCTAATTATGGGTTTTCCTATAATAGGGGAAGTCAGAACTTGCTGTTGTCCTCCTCTGTCTAAACCAGTGGGAATTCACAAAATAGGAATGGGTATTGGGTATTAGCAGAGAAATAAATGACGGCTATTAGAACTTAGATATCTGGCTCTGTTCTTCCGGGCGATGGGTTTAAAACAGCAGTTCTCCATCTTGGAGACACATTAGTCTTATTCCAGGAGGTTTTAAAAATTCTTACCCCAGTCCAAGTACAGGAGATTCCGTGGGGTTTCTGGAGAGGAGTTTTGGGTGTGTTCACTTGCTTGCTTATTCAGTTCCACAATGACACACCTCTGCTAAGGTCTAAGGTCAAGGACTGCTTGTCTAGAAGGTTTTACATTTTAGCACCTAAGCCAGAGTTTCCCAAAATGTGGTCCAGGGCACTAGGTACCAGCCACGTTACTGGGTCATTTGGAAGCCCTTTATCAGCAGTCATCTTTTTAAACATTCCACTGATGCACTGAGATCAGTGTTTGATAAGGACTCAGGATGCATAAGAAGTCAGGCCCTAAGAGTAAGAAATCAGGCCCTAAATCCTGGACTCAGGTTTGTGCCAGATGCAGCTTGAGAATCAACTTTAGGTTCAACATCAGAGATATCTATTCCCACATTTCATTGTATATGGAGTATAGGAGGCTGAAAAATGGTTCCCTCATGTCCTCCATAAGATCCTAGTCCCTGGAACCTATGGCACTTCACTTGGCATAAAGGGCTTCACCAGAGGAGATTAAGTTAGAGATCTTGAGATGTAAAAATTATCCTGTCATCCCAGTGAGCCCTCATGAGACCCTGAGAGAGCAGAGAAAGATTTTCTATAAGGTGATGTGAAGACAGAGACAGAGATGGGAGCTAGGCCACCACAAGTCAAGGAATGCCACCAGCCACCAGAAGCTAAAGAGGCAAAGAGTGCATTCTTTCCTAACACCTGAAAAGAACATGTCCCTGCCAACCACATCTCAATTTTATCCCAGCAAAACTGAATTCAGATTTCTCACTCCTATGGCTATAAAAAAAATACATTTCTACCGTTTAAGTCACCTAGTTAGAAATCATTTGTTATAGCAGCCAGAGAACACTAAAACAGACTCACTCTAACATTAGTACTTCAATTTAATCTACACTTGTTGGGTTTCTTCTATGGGCCAGGCACTGTGTTAGACACCAGGGATCCAAAGGTGAATAAAATATTTCCCTGTCTTGGAAGGTTCCAGATCTTTTGCAAGACTGACCCAGCAAGAAGCTGTGACATACCTGGGAGCTCCTACCTCTTTGTGCAGTTTCAAGTGAACTTCAAGTCTCGTCAAGCTTTGGAATTGTTTGCTCACGGAGAAAATGAGCCGATACAGCAGATAATCTGCAGCTGTGAACAGCACCCAGATGGAGAGATGGGTAAGTATGGGGAGGAAAAACAGCCCCAGGTTTTTCCTCTCTTTAGGAGTCAGCCGGAAAGATGGGATGACCACATACTTCTTCCTCTCCCTCTTATTCAGTGGGAGGACACAGGGCCTCTGTTGATGCCTCTCCTTTTCATCAAACTGAACAAATTGTCTGGTGATGTAGATGTTTTCAAACTTACAACCCCAGGGGCCCAAAAATCGTTTCATAAAGAGGCCAGTGCTGAGAAGAACAAGAAAAAGCCCAGCGAAGGCGAGCAGCTTCTGCCCTAGGGAGGAAAACACCTCCATCATGGTGGTCACAGGGTGTAAGACACTCAGGACTTCTCCTTTGGTGTTGTTTAGCTGTGCCTCCAGGACATGTCTGGGACTGAAAAGAGAGACCACCAGGGTCTGATTCCACGAAACGAGGTCATCAAATACATTCAGTGGAGTGGCAAGGCCATAAATCCACTGAATGGCTTCAATGTATTTTTTCAGAAGTGGAAAATGTACGGAAAAGCTCTTTGCCCTGAGGTTGCAAGTCATACTGTCCAGGAAACATTTAAAGTTGTGAAAAATATTTTCCACGTGGCCAAAGATCACTATGCCCGTGCCAGCTGCAATCAGAGCGTTCCTGCCTTCGCGCAGGCCACACGAGAGAAAGACCAGAAGAATGAAACAGCGCGCGTGCCTGGAGCAGCCCAAGAGAACACACATGACCATCCAGGAGGTGGCGAAGGCCACCACTGATGGCAGAAACCAGTAGAAGGCCACAGAGAGGAGGCTCGCTGAAATGAAGGCCACAAAACAGCACACTCCCAAGTGCTGGAGAAAGTCCACCCATCCAGGACCTCTCGGAAACACGTACATCCTCCAAAGACTTAGGAAGACATCCATGCTCGAGGTCCACATGCCCGTGATCCCTGTGTCCCTAGGAATGAAAAAGAAACCAAGATCAGAAGATACTTAAGATCCAGGAGGTGGATGGATGCAGAACATGGTGGTGATTCTTCACCCCTCCCTCTTTCCACCCCTTGCAATGAGACCTCACAGCTTTTTCCACCAAGAGGTGAGAGAAAGAGAATCCATCAAGAAGTGGACTCTGTTACTCCATTCCTTGAAGCTTAGCAGGACTTGTGACTGCTTTGGCCAGGAGAACGTGGCAGCAGGGGCGGTGTGCCAGTCCCTAGCCCATGTCCTGCTCCTGCATACTCTCTGAGTACAGGCCAGCTGTACTCAGTCTCCTATGGCCACACAACAAATTACCATGAACTCGGTGTTTCAAAGAAACATCTACTTATCTTCTTACAGCTCCAGAGGTCCACTGAACTGTGCTCCCACTGGAGGCTCTGGGGAGAATGTGTTTCCTTGCCTTTCTGGCTTCTAGAGTCTTCCTACATTCCCTTCTTCCATCTCAAAGCTAGCAAGGCTGCATCTTCCCTCCTCTGTGACCTCTGTTTCCTTCCTCTGATCCTTCTGCTTCCCTCTTATAAAGACCCTTGTAATTACATGGGGACGCCCAGATAATCCAGGATAATACCCCATCTCAAGATCATTGACTTAATCATATCTGCAGAGCCTCTGTTAGCATGTAAGGCAACATGTTCACAGGTTCTGGACATTCAGACATGAATATCTTTGGGGGGGTCATGGTCCAGCTTGTCATACCAGGTTAGACTTCTGGTCAATGAGCCCATTTGACTAGTCAATGCCATCAACTTGGCCAGTGGTCACCCAGCTACCAGCCATGTGAGAGAGGCCAGCCTAGATAGACTAGCCAGCCCCCCTCACCAACCCCACCAACACACCAGCTGGCCATGGACCCATGAGAAAGAGTAAGTGCTGTTTTATTTTAAACCACTGAAATCTGTTCTGGTCTGTTAGGCTGTAATTGTTAATTGATAAAGGCAACAGTACTGTATCATGGGCCTAATAGTTGAAACAAACAGTAGGCTGATGGATAGGCGGAAGTCTCACTGAACTGCATTATGTAAGAGTACTCTTTAATAGTCATCTATTTTCTTGTTCTGTAATTTTACAGACCAGAAAGCATACCAAGGGCATCCAAACTTCAATGTGGAGTTGGACTGAGGCCATTATACCTCTGCTCTGTAACCATTGCTTCTTCCTCCTCTGCCCCTACCTTCAGTGTACAGTTGTCTCCTGAGAGTCTTACAAGGAAAGGAAGGATATTTTTGTCTCTAGAATTAATCATCTTTTCCTTTTTTCCAGACATAGGATAATTAAAATAAAGATGCTCTAATGCTGCTACCACCCTGTTAGTCATGCATATTTAGGTCTATGATGTACTCAAAGAGGCTACGATTCATATGGAATATTATAAAATAAATTTGAGATTTGTCTTTCTTAATTGACATGAAAATATCTAACAAGCATGGTATCATATGCTTAGGATTTTAATGAGGACACTGATCAATTTTAAACACTGTCAAATACTTTCCTTCTCTCATAAATATAATGGAGCTGGATTTATGGAGTCGGTTAACTGCTATAGAACCAGTGAGTTCCACTCATCGTGTGAGATATGTGTAGGGTGCTGATAGAAGCATGAACTGGGCCACCAGAGGTGAAAAAATTATTGTCTTTCTGTGTTCAGACTGAAGAGGGTTAATGAAAGGCAGAAGTAAAAGGAGGGGGAAAGGCACGTCAGGAATAAACATAGGGGAATTTCTCTAGCAAGAGTATAGAGGGCATGGATCTTTGGGCACAAATTCTGAATGCAAATGCTCAGAGCAGACAAGAGACATGGGGAGAATCTGAGTTTTGAAGAAGGGTCATTACCACATAAAACTGGCCTTGGCAGAGATCAGAATTGTACACATGAGGATGTTCCTACTCCATCAGGAGGAAAGGAAATTAGAATAAAGATCAGAGGGGGAACTGCAAAAGACCATAGTTCTTTTCCCCTGCAAACTTACTTTCTTTCTGAATCAGGTTGGATGGAAGGTTGGCCGTGGCTACATGCACAGTGGCCAGTGAAGACAGAGACAGCCATCATGGATGGGCCCTGAGCTCCTGAACCCAGCATTGCTGACCCTACCCAACTTCATTATGTGAATAGGAGGGCTTGGTGGATGGGTGGGCAGTGGGTAGAGGACCCAGCAATAGAGCAAGTGAAGAGCTGCTACCTCTCCTCTGTCCCCATGCATTTTCTTTGCCATTACTTTGATTTTGACCCCAAACCATCATTTGACTAACTGATACACTCATAAGCATTCTTTGCCCTTTATGTTTTAGGCATTTTCCATAAAGTATCCACACTCCCTACCCCAACCCATGGAGAAGGAAGCTCTTCCCATTTTACACAGTGGAACCAAGACTCCATGTGCTTATTGAAATTTACCAGCCATCATGCAGAGTAGATGATACAGCAAGATCCACACCAGGATCCCCTGATTCCCTCCCTCCTGCAAACTGCCTGGATTCCAAGACTCTGACTTAGCTGACAGGACAATCAGCTTGCTGTGTCTGTGCCTGCTAGAAACATGTCACACTTTCTGCCAGGGACTGTTTAAGGGCTGACCCGAATATCACAAACCCATCTCCACTATCTTCAGTGTTTTTTCCTCCTGCATCTAAATAATCGACCATAATCTGTCTTCAATTAGCAGATTCTTCTCTAACCAAATCAGAAATCCCAGCTCTTTTGTTTATTTTTTTTCTAATTTCCTTTATGAGGCGCCATTCTGCTTGCCTCCTGAAATATTAATAATGTATACTGTGGTTCATTTTCCCCTTCTCTTGCCTTCATCCTCATACAATGTGTTCTTCACACTGATATTTTCCTGAAAGTATGAAATGGATTTATGGACACATTAAAATTTTAACATTCTGCAGTAAAATCTAGTATCAATTAAATAAGATCTATGACTGCAATTTTGTCCTGTAAGAGGCACATATTTGCTCAACAAGCTACAGATCTAAACTTATCCTCCTGTAATTGTGCTGAAAACAGCATGTCACCCAAAGACAACCAAACCTTTCCACATTGAGAAGACCAGACGCATTTGCTCCTATTTTACAGCTCAAGCCACAGAGCAGAGCTTTGGTCCATGGGCCTGCCCTTCTGTTCCTGTCAGGGGTGGCTTAGATTTCTTCTCCACTGTTCTCTGTTCCTCATTGTCCCCACTTGAATATAAGACCTACGTGCTCCTTCCTGGTGAGGTTTAAGGAGGAAAATTTTAGCACCCTTAATACTCCTTGGGCATAAGGTGTCCCACAGATACAACCCCTTCCTTCTTGCTATTTCTCTGCTGACACAGAAAATTGAGAACTCCCATTCTCTGCCCTTCAGCTGAGCAAAGATGGAATGCCCAAGTTGAAGGGAGGCTTAGATTCAGGGCAGGACTGGACCACCCTCCCAGCCCTGCAGTGCTGCCCCTGGTGCCTTCAGAGGTGGGCTGCCTTCTTTCCTCTCGCTCCTGTGGCAGTGAAGCTATTCTGCTTATCTTTTTGCAAATAACTTCAATTCCTTTCTTTCCAACAAATCACTGAATCTAACTTTTGACAAGCTACCTGCTTGGTTCTTTCTCAAAGATTTTGTCAAGCATGGACACTGATTCTTAAATTTTAATTGAGAGCTGGAGGGAATTGTATAGATCAGGGCTGCTCAGATGTGAGCTTGTCATCCCTGGGGGACTCTTGTGAAAATGCAGGTCTTGATTCAGAAGGTCTAAGGTGCATCTGAAGTTTTGCAATCTAACAAGTTCCAGCTGACACTGACATGGCTCATCTCATGACCAGACCTCAGGTAGCAAATTCTAGAATCAGTGCTGAGAGAACTTTCTGTGATAATCGACATGTTGTATATCTGAACTGTCAACACAGGGACACTAGCTGCCTGTGAGTACTAAGCACTTGGAATAGGGCTAGTGCCAAGGAATAGAATTTTGAATTGAATTGAAATTGAAATAAGTGATTAGTGAATATCTACATATTGGATATCATGGTTCCAGGTGAATGATACCTAACCAGATGATTTTCACAGCAGAGGAAATGAAAATGTAGAGAGAGGAGGGACCCACCAAAGCCATCCTGGCATTTGGCAAAGCCTGAAGTAAGAGCCCAGTTCACCACAAATCAACACTTTTCCCATCACATCAACATCTCTTCACATCAATAACTCATGAAAAGGACTTTTCACTATCCTTTCTAAAATCCTAACTAGGGTCCCTGAGTAATGGGATTGAATGTTCCCACATACCTATCAGTCTGCTAGATTAGCCGTAAAAATACCTTAGGCTCTGTGGCTTAAAGAGCAGACAAATATTTCTCACTGTTCTGAAGGCTGCAAATCCCATACCAAAGTCCTGTGGGGTCAGGTTCTGGTGAGGGCTCTCTTCCTGGTTCACTGATGGCCACCTTCTCTCTGTGTCCTCACATGGCATAGAGAGGAGGGTGAGCTCTCTGGTACCTCTCCTCCTCCTCCTCCTCCTCCTCCTCCTCCTCCTCCTCCTCCTCCTCCTTCTCTTCCATACCCTTCTTTCTTTCATACTGTATTATCCTTAAGTATACCGACCTTTCCAATATGTCACCCAGAGATCATTTCAGCCTCAGCTCTATTTGGCCACAAGTCTTTTCTTTTAAGCAATAACAGAGCAGTTATAAGGACACTAATCCTATTGGATAAGGGCTCCACCCATATGACCTCCTATAATCTTCATCGCTTCCTTGGAAACCCCATTTCCAAATGCAGCCACGCGGGTTAAGACATAAACATAGATTTGTGGTAGATGGGGAAACAAACATTCAGTCCATAACAATACCCAATTTGTCTCCAGGCACCAGAAGGTACATAAAGAAGTGGACAAACCATAACTTTGGTCTCTGTCTGAGACTTAGTAACTTAACAGACACACTACTACTAATAGATAGCAGTTATGAGTTTGTTACCACAAACTAGCATTTGATATACAAGATTTCCATGAATCTTATATTTTTGTGTCTACATCTTTTTTAGATGGTAAACTGAAGCTCAGAGAGGTAAAATACTTGACTAAGGTCAGTGGAAGAACCAGGATTCTAATCCATGACACTGAGGGATCCAATGGCGAGCTCTCTGCCCTCTTCAACACGATCTTTGAAGGTCTTCTAATTTTAGGTGAAATATGTTCCCAGGTTCCCATCCACTCGTGTGGGCTAAAATGCAGACAGGGTGTGGGAAGAGCTTGCCCTGCACTGTCAACACATCCGGTGTCCTCCCCCTCCTGCCAGCACAGCCCAACTGAGTCTTCACAGCCAACTCAGAGTCCTTTCCCAGGCAGACACTCTGCTCAGCTGCATGAAGCCACTCATGAATTCCCATGTTTTACTTAGAGATGGCGACAGCCAGCATTAGGCTCACCCTTGCCCAGCTCTTAAACCAGGGCTCCCTGGACTCAGGCCCATCATGGTCTGAGGTCTTACCGAGAGGCCCTGCTCCCAACCAATCCTGGGATAGGGGGAGAGAGGTGCATTGTGTCAAGGTCCCTCCTTCTCTATTGAGCTGGGTCAGGGTGGACTCTCTTCCTGACCTGGCAGACATGGGCAGGGCAGGCAGCCCCAAGACTTCCAATGCCTGCAGGGTCAGACAGGCATGGTTGAGAGTGAAGAAAAAAATAAGGAGACACAGATACTCTGGGGTGTGAAACCATGGGCAGTAGATATCTGGGGTGTTGAAGGGACCATGACCCCTATTTAAGTTGTAGGGGAAATAATCCCCAAACCAGCAGGCTTTTTTTTTCAAGATTATATATAAACTCCGTGTGGCCAGATTTTCTGATTATTTTCAAGTCAGAAATCTGATTTCTGAGCTGGGGTTATAGCTCAGTAGTAGAGCAAGTGCTTAGCATGTACTAGACCCTGGTTTTGATCTCCAACCCTGGGGGGAGAAAAAAATCTAGATTTCTTTGGGTGATATCTCTTGAATAAAGAAAAAAGAAAGAAAAGAGTTTGATTCAACTTGTTTGGAAGCACTCTGGCTGATTTTGACCATAGCTGTGAGTTTGCAGCCTTTGAGCTTCAGTGATAGTCACTTTGCTCCCTCTTCCTGTCTCCCCCTCCTCACCTTAATCTCTCCCCCAACCACTTCCCAGAATTACCTTTCTACCCTCTTATCCTTTGTGATGTTTTCAAATCATGCTATAAGCCAATTTCTAGTCTCACATATAAAGGGCTTTCTCTATGACTTGGGCATGTTTATTTTTGCTCAAAGATCTCTAACTCCATTTTATTCTCCTCTCTGTTCTGGTGCTTACTGGATTCCCCTCTCACCTTCTACATTGTTTCTTTCAGCAGCTTCTAAAAGGCTGCCTGATCCTTTTAACCTGTCATTTCTCTTTATTTTGCTTCCATTATCAATAATGTTTAGTGCCTGAATTCACAGCCTCGTCTCCCCAGCACAGAAAGCCTGCTCCTTGCTTTTACCAACAGCAATTTCCCAGTAGTAATTACCACTTCCTTGCTTTCATCCCTCACCTACAGTTTGCATCACATCGCAGGCAGAAAGGCCTTAGCTGGAGGCCTTAGCTGGAGTCCACAGCAACGTGTCACTGGAGCCCCATCTCTCTTTTACAGGGTCAAAGCAATTTTCTAGTGGTGGGGTGGGAGGAACCCGAGAAGGACAGAGTTGGGGTAAGAAGCCCAGCCCAAGCCCAGAGCCCTGCAGAGCAGTGCGGTCTTTGTATCCAACCTGAGCCCATGTGCACCTGCTTTTATGCAGAGCTGAGCTGTTGCCATGGGAAACAGAAGCCACCAGGCTTCTCCGTCAGCCCTGCACATGCTAGCTGGCAAACCTCACAGTAGTGCATGCACTGCCTTGGTTTTGTCCAGGTGGAAATAAATGTCAGTGGTAACATGAGGGCTGGCATGGAAAAGGGGCTCCAATTCCTGATCCCCAAGGCCCCCACCTCGTTGGTGAATCAGGGAGACCTCCATTCCTGAGCAGTCTTTTTCTTTTTTGTTTTCTTTTTTTGTGCTGAGGATTGAACTCAGGGCCTCACACATGGAAGACCAGTGCCCTGCCACTGAGCTTCAGCCCCAGCTCCTGAGCACAGTCTTTTGAGCACAGATTAACCCTCAAGGTAGAGATGAATGTGTCCTAGGTCCATAAACAAAACCCGGGCAGTAGCCACAACAAACGGAGCCATGAAATAATAATGAGAGCCTCTAAATGAGAGGCCCTCACTTTCTAGATGGGGGGAATACTGCAGATGCACATCATCAATGCAGCTTCAGACTTGTCAAACAGAAACCAGCAGGCTGCTGTGTGGCCCTCCTGCTGGGAAAGACCTGGAGCCCCAGGCCACAGGAGGTGCCGTCTTGCCCACTTACAAAACACCAGCCTCATCTGACATCTTGCAATTTCCAGCTCATGTGTCCCTGCTCCCACGCAGAAGACAAAGGCTGATGCTCACCAAGCCTGCTTACAGTCTGCAGACACCCTGGGGGGAAATAAACCAGAAGGACAGTTCTTCTATCCCTCCTGAGCTCCTCTAAATGGCTCTACTGATCCCTTAAAGGAGGCTTTCAGCCCCTCAGCCTCCTGGCTTCCTCCATAACTTGATGGAAATCTCATTTTAAAGGAAATCCGAATAAAGGGCACGGTAAAATAGGAAGAAGAGTGGGGCAGGGAGACMGGAGGCCTATGGCCTAGACTGCCTCCACTCCAAACAGGTCACTTCACCTCTTGGGACCTCTGCCCAAGAGCTAACTGGGTTCTAAGGTCCCCACAAGCCCCGTCTTCTCTGAAATGAAAGGTGGATCAGAGCCACAGAGTGGGCTCTTGGCATGGATACTTGGCACCCACTTCTGAGAATATCAAAGGTCGGCACCTGTAAGTGAGACAAAAAGAAAAAAAGGAGGGCTGCTTTTCCTTTCTTTCTTTCTTTCTTTCCTTTTTTTTTTTTTTTTTTAAAGCTCTTGCTCTGGTTGGGAACATACTGTTCTCTCAGATGGCCAAAATAGCTGGAGCAGGAGCCGAGGCCTCTGTTTGAAGGGGACTGACTTCCTCATCTCTTTGTTTTAGTCCTTCTTGCCTTGGGAACCTTAGCAAATGCCTTACTCTGTGAAAGCAACATTCACACAAGAAAGGAAAGATTGATGAGGGCTCTGGGTAAACAGAAGAGCATCCATGGAGAGATTCCGTCCCTCACTGCAGGCTGCCAAACCCTGGGGTGCCTGTTAGGGAGGCAGGGCCTTCTGTCCTACCTAGGACAGGGTGCCAACTCCTCCCTAGGCCAGAAGCCTCTGCTCCTAGGGTCGAGTCTGCAAAGCCAGGAGATGGCACAGGGTTCCACACTGCCCTAGCAGGAGGATACCCATGTGCAGTCTCCCAGAGATGAGAATACTCAGATACCAACATTAAAGACTGTCTTTCTGATATGTCTATTCATAGGCAGACTGTGGAGCAGAGGAGGGGTCATAATTGTTTATTCTAATTAACCAATACTTTTTTAAAAAGCAATTTTAGGAAAAAGATTAGTCTGGAACGTTACTTACAGATTTCTCTCAGGTTCTTCTTTGAGTGCAGAAAAAAAAAAAGCCCTTCCCAAGGGCCTGCAAGTCTTAATATAGAGCAGGAAAAAGGAACCAGAAATGAGAAGAGGGTAGTGTCATCATGAATCAATATCTTTATTTCCTCCATAAAGTGACTACGTCATTCAGTATCAACAAGGGGTGAAACTGATGCGAAGGAACTACATGGTGCATTCTGATATTTTTCACAGAATAGAGGTTCCACAAACCAGCTCTGGAAAATAAAGAAATAGTATATTTTCAAGCACAAGGGAAGGAGTTATAAAAACATGGACAGTCTCTCTTCCTCTTTCCTCTTTTCTCCTAATGTGTAATTCCTAACTCTACTCTAGAAAGGCAGTTGGTAAGCAAGAGCCCTCCCCTGCTCCCATCTACAGCTGAAGGGCAGGTTCACCAAGAAGCCACCTCTGCACCCATGACCAAGTCAGGGCTGATAATGGTGTCACGCCGTGTCACGCCGTGCAGCCACATGGAGACTTCCCATCTTAGAAATTTAACTTCCAAGTTGAAAGGACGGTATTTTATACTTTTAGGGAATTAGCAAAGCCTCAGAACCTTTCTACAACATTATTATTTATCTTTTCATGGAGACCCATAATATGTCTACGAAAGCTTTTATCTCAAAATTCATGATTCCTAGTGAGCTGCAAATATCCCTGGGAAGGAGGTTGTCTTAAATATCATTACTGCCAATTTGTGTTTGATGACTGAGTGAAGGCTAATGGACACTTCAAAAAGCAAGAAATAGTTCCAAAATCTACAAGTTTGACAACTGTACATTGAGATAGTACATAGTCATAATTTACAATCAGTCTTCTGACGGAAGCCTTGACTTCCTCCCCCTCTCAAAATGTTTTTTGTTTATTTCAAACACATGATCCAATATCTTCAACCATACACACAGGTTCTAATCTGGAAAAACATTTTTCCCTCCTCCTCTGAAATTTTTTAATTATCATTCATTTGGATTCAGTTCAATGAAATTCAATTGAACCACATACAGATTGATAAGACGTTTATTGAAACTCTACTCAAGGCTTAGGCACTAGGGGATATAAAACCTAATAAAAATCTAACACCTGATTTTCAAAGGACTCATGATTTACTTGAGGAGAAATGGTGAAAATGAGACAGAGAGAGAGAGAGTAGTGTGGAACTGCTTGGGCAGGGAAAGAATATTTCTAACAGGAGTTTGGGGAATACTTTATGGAGAGGTGAAAACCTTGAAGACTGAACACAATTTAAACAGATCTAAGGAGCAGGAGAGAATTTCCAGCAGATGAGATGCTTATGAAGGTCCAGAAGCAGGAAACTGTATCCCATTCTGGAAGTTTTGGGCTCAACTAGATCTTCAGAGAGTTAGGAGGAGGAGGTAGGAGTCACACCAAAGGGGCCTGGAGTGTGGCCCTCCACCAAAGGTGCTTGGCCTTCCTCATTTGACCTGAGGTCCCCAAAGAGTAATAATCCTATCTTGGCCCTGTCCACATTGGTTTTAGACATATATAGGTTAAAAAAAAAATTTAAGAGTGGATTTGTTTTTCAAGTAATTTTCATTTCATGGAATGTGCTTCTAGTTTTGCTGTTGTTTATTTATTTGCTTTTGGTTTTGGTGCTATGGATGGAACCCAGGGCCTCCTGCACACTAAGCATGTGCTCTACCACCGACTATCCCTGGCTCATGTTTTTTTTTTACTTATACCCATAATAATGATTTTCTTTTACAATAATTTTTAAGTTTAAAATGATGTTGATATTAAGAAAACTCTAAGATAAATAATTGTACAGGTGAGACATTATAATCTCTCACCCAACATCATGGTGAAGATACACAAATGTCGGATGCTTGGGCAACACAACTATAGAGCAATAGATAATGGGGAATTAGAGAATGTGATGAACAAATTCGTATTGTAAAAAGTCAGTGAGCAGCACTGGAGAGGGCGGGAGGAGAATGAACAAAGGGGGCTGTCAATAGGAGGTAAGACCAGTATATTATTAGGGTTCTCAAGACCAACAGAGGAAACAGGGTTGCAGGGTGGGGGGGAGACTATCAGGAGACATCCCAGTCAAAGCCCAGGGAGCATGGCTGCCTGGCATGGGTCACAGAGGCAAGCCTTGGCTCCCAGCGAGGAAAGAGGAGTGGCAGGCGAACACTCCAGGCAGGAAAAGGCCATGAAATTCAGGGTTCGAGTGAGGCATTGGAAAGTCCAGTTGGGCCTGTGGTGTAGGTACCAGGTGTGAAGGATGCAGGCTGCAGAGCCGCAGCCTCTCCCGCCCCTTCCTGTGGAACTGAAGGTAAATCAAGATGTTCTCATCTGAACAAGAAAGACCCAACTCAGTGTCCATGCCTAACTGGGCAACAAGAGAGGAAGGGTGAGGAGTGGGGGAGGGGAGGCATGTGGGATATTGAGGGCAGGAAGAAGAAGAAGGCTCAGGAAATGGCCCTGCCTTTTGGAAGAGCCATGTCGGTAGACAGCTGGAGGCTGCAGTGGGCTGGGAGTGAACCAGAGGCAAGTGGGGGAGGAACCATCCAGGGGTTACTTGGTAGTAGTGTTGGAGATGAAAACAGAGAGGAGGAAAGCAGTGATAGAGATGCAATAAGAGACTAGAGAAAATTCAGCCCATCAGACTCACAAAGGAGAATGAAGAGAGCAGGAGAGATGTTGGTAACTCTTTGAAAGCTGAGGATACTTCCAGACCTTCTGGGGAAGGAAGAGATAGAGCCTTCTGCTTGGAGAGCAGAGTAGACCAGAAGTTCCTGACTCGTGCAGAGCAAATCTACAGCTGGTGCAAGAAGAAAGCATTGGACAAAAGAAACCCTGGTCCTACACAAAAGGGACCACAGTGGAGCCATTGACATGGTTTTGAGAATCCCCAGCAGATCACAAGCTTTTTTGAGGGAGACAAAATGGTCAGTTGAGTTTCAACCTTAGAGACCTATGTAGGGTTAAGGGGCTGGGATGTGGGCAGACGGATGGAATTCAGCTATTGCTGCAAATTTCCTTTCCTGAGCACTGAGTGAACTCAGAGAATGGAAAAGCTAGGCTCAGCTGGGAATTTTACCCTGGTCAGCTCAAATGTTCCTTAATGACTTTGAAAGTCTGCAATTAGTAAGCTGGACTCTTGGACAGTATCTGTCTGCACTCCTCAAATGAATAGCCTCAGAACAGCCATAGTTGAAAGAGCCTGGTACACAGGAACCATCCAGATTCCAACACCAGGGCCTGGTGGCCAGCAGCCAAGTAAAATCAGGCCTGAACTTCCGGGGTGTCTCTGGGATTCTGCCTCAGGTGACCACTGAAATTACCGTATGATCCTAAGCCCACAGTCAGGATCATCTTTTGTTCTTTCTCCTGTCTTCAAGGAATCTCTGCCCTTCAGAGGTCATTTTGGATTCCATGAGTCATAAAACTATAGAGAATACCAGCCTTGTCTCTGACCCCTGCACCACCCAGCTCAGGAATCCTCTGGAAAACCAAGGTAGGGAGAAGATGTTTTGTGAGACGGTATGGCCTGGCATAGACAGGGATTGTCACATTGTTTGTTTGGTAGCTTAGCTTTAACCTGTTAAAATTGTTACAGTATTTCTAGAACAACTTATTTGAGGCCATGCATTTCTTACATTGAATGAAGAATGAGAAGGGCTGGCGATACAGCTCAGTGGTAGAGTCCTTGCCTAGCAAGCATGAGGCCCTGGGTTCTGCCCCCAGGACTGCAAAATAATAATAATAATAATAATAATAATAATAATAATAATAATAATAGAAAGTGAGGATTCTGTCATGTGAATCAGCTGAGGCCATCTATGACACCTCTGACGGAATATTTAGTCCCCTTCATTCAGAGCCCTCACTGCAGTGGTGCTTTTCTGTGAGTATCAATCTTCACCTTCCCAATGACGGATCCTGACCTTTTCTGCTTTGCCGGTACTGCAGCCTCCAGTGTTTGCACTCCCTCTGTCCGGAAGCTGCTTCCCCGCCTTGACCTTTCTTCCTCCCAGGACATTCTTAGCATCATCTGCTTTTTTCCCCCTGTTCAAGGGCACTCTTCAGGCATCGTTGTGCACCAGGCCTGTGGCGGGTCCCCGGGGTCCCCTGATGAAAGAAGCCTGACTGCTGAAGCTCATGACGGGTAAGGAAGTCCAGATAGGGAGTGTGTTAATCCGCCTTCCATTACTGTAACRAATACTAGTGATAAATCAACTGTGAAGAAAGAAAAGGTTCATTTTGGCCCATAGTTTGGAGGTTTCAATCCGTGGTTGGTTGGCCTGATACTTTGGGGCCTGTGGGAAGGCAGCACATGGTGGTAGGAGGAAACTGCTCGCCTCATAGTGGCTGGAAAGCAGAGAAAAAGAGGAAGAGACCAGAGTTCCACTCTTCCCATGTCTAAGGACATGACCCCAATAACCCAAGACCTTCCCTGGGCCCCAAGTCTTAGAAGTTTCCACCACCTTCCAGCAGCAACACAGGCTGGGGACAAGGCCCTTCACTTATGGGCTTTTGTGGGACATTGAAGTTCCAAAACAAAGCAGAGGGACAGGAAGTGGTGGAGAAAAGCCTGAAAAAAACAATGGGGAAGGTCTCTGAACTTCTTGGGGACAGAAGTTGGAGTAAGGGAAAGACAGGAGTGAGAGGATGAGGATGCGTTCGCAGTTGGAGCAGGGACATAAGCAAAGGCAGAGAGCCCTGGGAGCATGAGTGCCAGCATGGCCAGGCTAATTCTCACATGCAGCCTTTACCCAAGCATCCCTTGGAGTCAGAGCATGGATATGTGATTGGCTGTGGTCAATGGGACTTGAGGGGACGTCAATGAGGAGCTTGTGGTAGAGCCTTCCTCTCGTAAAAGGCTGCGCCTGGGAAGGAATAGGCTCTGCTTTGCAGGGAGTGCCCTTCTATGATGTCCGAACAGCTGTGGCCACTGTTTCTAACACGAGAAGGATCAGAGTCAAAAGATGGGAACCTGCTGCATTCCCAGTGGCACTTGGCCACTGGACCAACCCTTGATCTCTTCTGCTCCCTGACCCCTGACATGAGACAGTAAACATCCTAACTGTACAGCCACTTTTAAAACACAAACTTGTTTTTGACATCAGTTTTGGGTCTTACAACAAAAGTGAGTAAAGATAGATTCCCCAGAGGCTTCTCATCCGTAAACATGCCTAGCCTCCCCGAGTATGAGCACCTCYCCAGGGGGCACACTCTTACCACTGAGAACACCCACGTCTACAGTTTATGTTAGGGCTCACTCCTGGAGTTGTGCATTCTGTTGGGTGTGGACAAATGTATAATGACATGTATCTACTCTTACAGTATCACACCAAGTAAGTTCCTTGTCCTAAAAGTCCCCTAGCCATCATTAACTATTTTACCATCATTTTGCCTTTTCCAGAATGTTATAATTGAAATCATACAGTATGTGGCTATCAGATGGCTGCTTTTTCTTAGTGATATTTAGGATTCCTCCATGTATTT